AAAGAGGGATGATGGGAGTGAAGGAGGGATGGATGGAAGTGGACGGGAGGGGAGGAGGCAGAGATAAATGCAGCAAAAGCCCGGCCTGTGCGGGGAAGCTGAGGATAGGCCAGCATGTTAACCTTAATCCCTTCAGGGATAGGAGTAAACACATAGGAATAGAGAACAAGGGACTGAGTGAAAAAAGAAAGGGATGTGAGATCTTTGTCTTCCCACTCTCTCCTTCATCCTCTCAGTGTGTGATCAGCCAGTTGCAGGCAGCAGCCGGGAAATCCCTCTGTACTTATCTGAAGCCAGCCTCTTAATCATAGCCTTCATCTAACTTGTCTCTTCCTGCTGCCTCTCCCTGGTTTCCTGTTTTTATCTTTCTTTTTTTTTTTTTTTTATTCCTCTCCTCTCACCTCCTCGCTTCTCAATGCCCCCCCCCCCAAACCCCAACTCCACTGTTAGGACCCCATCGTCTCTCCTTGACTCATTTCCTTTTTCGTGGAGTACTCTCCCCTCGTTTCAGCTTCCCCGTCAGTGACTCATATGCGGCGAGGTTTTAAAGGAGTGCTGCTGATCTGTCTCCTGAACCCCCCCCCCCCCCCCCAAAAGTATTTTGAGAGAGAAATGAAGAGAGTAGAGGTGAAACTGAAAAAACTCTAGCCACCGGCTGCAGATCTGTGGCCAGGATTCAGCCATGCATCCTAAAGCTCAAGAGATTCCGGTGGTATTTTCAACTTGCTGAAGTGGTTCTGCGGTAATTTCAGACAGTTTCAGCCAACCATCCAGCCTCATCTCCTCTTCCCTCACTCCTACTCCCATCCTCCCCTTCCTCTGCTGTTTCCCCGTGGGAGAACGTTGGTCTATGGATGACTGGCTGGCCATGCAGGCAAGGGTGAGTGATGGAGGGCTCACGTATAGGAAGGCGTACATGTGTATCTGACTGGATGGTCCCTCCATTGATCTGCTCACAGGAATGGAGCTGACCTTTAACTGAGTTTGAACTGTGGACCATCTTATTCACAGTAAAGGAAAAACACGACACGGTTGAGTTGGAATATAGAGAACTGCTCTCTGCCTCAGGGCTCCTCTCCACTGAAATAAATTTGGTGTTATTCTGTATGTGCGCTTGTCTCTTTTTATATTTAAATATGTGTATCTTTGTTCACGCATGTGATGTATGTCTGGAGAGGAAAGGCAGCGGGGCAAAGGGCACACTGCAGACCAGTGTGTTTGTGTAAATATGTCAGACTGAGCGACGAGGATACAGCACAGGAAGCCAGCTGCTCCTTAATACAATGCCTTTTGCTTGTGTTTGCATACACTGGTGTGTATTCTGGGTTTGCATGGGTGTATGTACCATATTAATGTACTCTGTATATGTGGATAAATGTGTGCCTGGTTGTGTGTCCTTGGCAAAGAGCTGCAGAGATTTAAACAGGCCCAGCAGATGTACAGTACACGTGTACACACACACACACGCACACACACACACACTCTTCTTTCTCTCTCCATCTGGGATATTTCATTAGTGCAAGACATGGCTGGTGTCCAGGGCCAACACAGAGGGCATGCTCTCGAGTCAAGTCATTCACACACAAGCACTGCACCTCAATCCTCAAAATTGGCCTTTTTTCCCGCAGCTCTCTCTTCTCTATCAGAGGTTATCTGAGAGGAAAGAACAGCTTTCTACCTGAAACCTGCTGAGTGAAAATGGCATTGGTTGGATAATGACGCCAGTGAGATAAGGGGAGGGGGTGGTGGTGGGGGCCCTATAGCACTTCAAATAAAAATCCCAGGAGCCAAAATGGAGGAAGGAGGTGTGATGATGAACAGACACGGCACTGGAATGAGGAAGCAAGAACACAAAACACTCGAAAGACAAGGCAGGTATCAGGATGAGGATTTAAGTGCCCTGTGGCTGTTCGGTGCTGTGGTATTGAAGTGACACAGCACCACCATGTGGCAATTGGCTCGTGTTACAGGAAGTCGATTTCACTGTATGTGAATAGATGTGATGCATCTGATGCCAAGTTTCAGTTTCAGCAGTTGGATGAAGCCTGAATGTCAGCTCATAAGGCACGTCCAGTCTGTATATAGTTTGATATTTTCTGAAGGCACCCTGGCCTTTTGTTCGTGTGTTTTTCTCTGCAAATCATCTCTCCATTCCCACTAAATTATTTAATGGAGAATGAAAAACACCCCCACTGTAGGACCATTGTGACTTTGCAAATGCCACAGTAAAACATTCTGCACTCTCCTTCATGACAGTCCTTGTAAAGAATCCGACTAATTATTTAGCGTAGCTCATTTTAAAGTTCATCTTTTTTGTACTTTTAGACCCCAAAGATTGTGTTTTATGGCTGAGCTGAAACAAAAGCATGTTTTACAAGCTCGGTTAGACACTTTTAAGATTCAGGTTGTTGCATGAATAATTATTTTTAATTTCTTGCAGCTCAGCCTGAATTTCCTCTGCCACATAATAGCTGCTTGCTCTCATCTATTTTAATACAGATATTCTACAAACTATTCATTGCCTTTTTGCAATAAATTTTATGTTGGTTGATACTGACAAAATAAAACAGATTTTGACCAAATAAATGATTTGAATTTTATATTTTGGATATTATTGTTGATTACAATTAAAATGTAGAGAATCGTATCAGTTTACTGTAGTGCAGCCTTTAAGAAGAGAACTTAGTAATGTTATATATTAACTAGTATCCCAGAGAATATATATTCTCATATCACAGCACTAATATAAAATTAAATCAAGTATTCCTTAAAAAATAATTAAAATGCATTTCACTATATATTTATACTGCTGCTACTAAAACATAAAATACAGCCTGTTCTACATGAATCAAATTCAAAATTATTTTTGTTCCTTTATCAGTTTATGCAGCTTGTGTCTTACTAACAAAGTGAAAGTAGTTCTTAAGGTACTAGAAAGGCGTTGAAAATTCCTGTTTGATTTGAATCTTGAGAATGAAACGCATAATAAATAAATGAAACACATATTGTGAATGAGTGCCATGGCGGTTTGCGTCCCTACAGAGGCATAAAACTACTTTAGATGCAATGAGGGCACCACATGTTGGTTTTGTTCCCAAGATAAGAGGAATGTAACTTTTGCACAAAGGGAAAAAACAATGGAAAACTTATTTGTACCCCACAGACTAAATCCAAGAAACATAATTAACTCGGTTCACCCTATCAAACGAAGATTTTCTCTTCATTATATCCAGGGAACCATTTTGTTTCATCTTTAACGAGTCGCAACGCTTTGTGATTATTGTTGTGACTCAGCAGATTAAGGTGCATATTGTGCTTCTTTTTTTAATTTTTTTATCTTTCGTTTTCTCATTCCCATGTTTTATTTTACTCTCCCATGTATTCACCCCCCACCCCCCAAATTCTAACAATAACATGATAAAAAAAAAAAAAACAACTAATGTTCATATGTCCATTGTGCAGGTGGCACACAGACACCTACAAGTACAGGCTTTATAAATGAATTAGCACAATGGAAAACGTAAAAGCGAGAGGACAACCAGAGCGAGTGTAAAGGGGAGATCATGTGGGATCAGCAGCAAGAGATAATGTACTGGGTGGTGATGTGTGGTAGGGAACAGAGATGATCATTAGGACACTTTTGTATGTGCGAAAGAATGAAAATTATTTTAGGAGATATTCAAAGCAGTCTATTGTTAGAGGAGAATTGTAATTAGGGGACTAACAACATTCAATCATGACCCTTCCAATTACTAGGACCAGGGTTTGTTCTCATCAAATGAGCTTCAGATCCTCTCTGCCCTTTACAACCCCCTCATTAGCATAATCCCCTGGGAATACGGGGGGATAATGAGCCCGGTTGCACCTTCAGTAAACACACGTGTGTGTGTGTGTGTGTGCGTGCGTGCGTTGTGTGTGTGTGTGCGTTCGGTTCACGTTCAGTGTGGTCATGGTTCATTAGTGGAACCTCTGCATGATTCCTCTGGTTCATCTTAATCACCCATGTGACTCGACACTCTAATCAAGACCCTTTCCACACACACACACACACACACACACACACTTAGCGTCTTTATTTTTTTCATTATGAAGCCACTCTTAGTCACGGGTCTTACAGAGTGGAGCAACTTCAATTATCTGACCTACACTCTTGTACTGATTGTGACTTCTGTTAATGTTTGTTAAATCACTGGTTCCCAACTTAGAGGGCAGGACTTCTTAATGTGGCCTCAAAATAAATCTAAGCAGTTGACAGGGAAGATGATAAAACATCATTTTGTTTCACAAAAGGGTTTTTTTTCCCCCCCAGACTTTTATTTAGTTTGATTGTCCAGGTTCATTCTAAAGCTTGGCAATATGCTAGCATGATAAACAATCTGAACTCAAGGTTCACTTACTTTGCTGTTCTCAAAGCTCTCAGCTGCATCCCACAGCCTTCTTCTTATTTTAAAGAAATAGAAAGAAATCTGTGAAGATCAATACTGCTCTTAAATCAGTTTTATTGGATCCAAGCTGGAAGTTATTGGTCCCAGCCAACAAGTAGTCTGGCACAGACAAAAAGCTAATTGTTGCTTTTTCATTTAGATTTTTGTATGAATCAAACAAATGAGATGTAACATTTTAAGTACTGAGCTTTAGGGGGCTGGTAGGATGATTTTGTTACAAGCATATTTCCCAAAATGTCAAACTATTCCTTTAACTATTGTTTTTTCATGTAAAATACTAGATAGTTTTTCCTTCTGTGGTTTCTAAAAGTCATTTAAATGTAACAATCTCAATCACTGCTCGCAGCTCACTGACACACACAGCCAGTGACAAAGAGCTCGAGTAGACATGGCTTTATCTTGGGGGCTCACAAGGCAAAAAGGTCAGGAAGCGTTGTGTTAAATAAAATTTATTATGGAATAGATTTTAGCAGTCCCTCTCAGCCAAACGAGGAAATCATGTCCACTTCATTGATGTTGTGTTTTCTCTCTTTCTTTCCCCTCTTCTTTTACCAGGCACTCGTCTTCCAGAGAAAGGTCCTACTACAGGCAGCATCATAGGAGCCATCATTGGAGTCATTATACTGCTGGCCATCATTGGAACAGCCATCGCCATGTACCGCAAACACCGCAACAACCAACTCAATGGAGAGTGAGTATCTGTTTGACTGAGTGAGTGTGGATGACTCTACAGTTCAGTTCTCTGTTGTTTTTTTGTTGTTTTTTTTTTTCATGCTCAGATGTTTGTTCTGTGTGTTATTTGCAAATCGCTCCATTAGATGAAATGCCACGCAGCATGTCTCCTCTTTTTGTGACTCACTAAACATGACAGCTGTGTGTTTTTGTGTTTCAGTGGTCCACCCAAGTACAAGCCCCCTCCCCCGAAGAAGACCGACAGCTCCGCTAACGGGGTGAGTCAGCATCGACAAATGCCTGTAATAAGGACAACAGTATCATTGACTAAATTGTGATGTCAGATTGTGAAAAACTGTGAGCAGAGCCATCAGATTTGATTCTGTCCCCTGAAATATACTGAGTCATGTGTGTGTCCTCAGCAGGGGAACGCAAGCTATGCCCCAGTGGTTGAGGGCAGATCGAGGACTCTGCAGGAGGATTACTACAGTGCCCAGAGTGCTGAGCCAGTCACGGTAAAGATACACAGTGATTGAAACTGCAAAGCTGATATAAATTTGGATCACTGCAAATTTTTTTTTTTTTTTCCATTATTGTTTTGTTTTTTTCTCTGACTTTGAGACACAAACAGAACACGGTGTAGACAAGTATGAACTTCTATAAAAAGTTCTATGAAAAGGAAATACATCACATCACTATTTTCCAGTGCACCTTGCTTCATTCATGTCACCTTCATTAAGGCGTCGTCTGAGGTTGTTTCTGGTTTTTATTCATTCGTTATAATCTCTTTAACACTGCTGGGTCCATTTGTGGGTCTGTTGGTACACGGTATGTGCGGCAGAAAGTTTGTTCTACTGACAGAGAAAATGTCTTAGAAAATAATGTAACACAGAATATAATACAATTTCAATATAATGCAGTGTTTAATTAACACTTTGCTTGTTGCAAATTGTGGAAAATTATTTTGACTGTAGTCGATATGTGAATTCACAGATAAATTAGGACATGTGTCATTTATTTGTGTTATTCTACCATTTTATCTTCCCACCCCGGAGAATGAAATCAGGTGGATGAGCTGCACTCTCGTTCACGGAGGAGTATCTAAGATGAGCCTGATATGTGGCCATTTTTTCACCACTCTATTTTTGGGCAGTGATTCAGATGTCTGGAACCAGGCTGATCTCATGATTGGATTTTAATAAAAACTTTGGTTGATGGTGTGTGTCACTGTGCCCATTTGAGTACTGCTAATGATACACTGAGCACACAGTAGCAGTTTATTCTCTGGTACTGCTGAAAACAAGGTGCCGTGTTCTTTTGTGACCGATTACGATACATGAGTGATGAGATCTTTACTGTTGCCTTATGTCTTGGCAGGACCTGGATGCCTACCATGACGACGAGGAGAGGGACCATTATTACTCTGCTGCCCCCTCTGGCTGGGATGATCCCGGAAACAACGAGGTCCCGCCTCCCTACGTGCGCACAGACAGTGACCCTCAGGATGAATACCGGGGGCCCTATGTCAACCGTGGGGACAGCTTTGTGTCTCCAGCCATGTTTGTGTGATGAGAGGGGCGTGAGAAACCACAGAGGACGTGTGTAAATATGTGTGCATGTGAGACTGAGTGAGTGCTCATTTCCGCTCATAGAGTGAGATCTGTCATAGGAGAGTGAAAACTTGTGAATGTGAACATTTGAGGCTTAGCTGTAAATTTTCAAGTTCATCCACTGCAGAGCTGCTGAGTTCTGTTTTGCCTTTTTCTTGTTTAAAAATATTTATAGATCGATAACCTGTCCTATGAAATAATCTGGTTGAGTTGCGTGTTGCTCTTTTGAGAAATCAACCATTTTTAAGCCCTGATCCAGCTTAAGCCAGCAAGATACAAAATGTTTCTAATGTAGCTACTATATGCTCAACTGCACCCTACAGCTATAGGAATATAATGACATTATTTTTCTTAAACTGTAGATAAATCATAGACAAGGTTGTTTTAAATACCATATTATGTTGAATGTAACATCATAGTCAGGACATGAATATGTTTTGTGTGCACTGTTGCATGACAAGAGCATGAAACGGTTCCTTGTTTGGTGAACAGCAAACTGCCTTGCATTATTCAATGTGGAGCTGTCACACACGTTATGGGTTGGTTAGCAGAAGCACAATATGTGGGTGTTACATGTTACCTCTTTCTAGTCGTATCTGTCTGCTGCTGTTGGTTTCCAAACCCAGGTGGCGTGATGTCGGTGTAAAACAGGCGCCCTCTGTGAAGAAGCTTTTAGCTGCAGTTAATCAGGCAGCACCAAGACGAGACCCACAGACCGTGACGACATCGGGATGTAAACTGCGGGGGGGGGGGGGGTTGTGTTAATGTTTGTGCTTGATTTGAATTGTTTTTTTGTTTTTTTTTACTTTTTTTACTTCTGCGTCCAGCCTTTGCCTTCTTTGTGAAATTTCAGTGAAACTCAGCTCAGCTCGGCTCAGCTCAGGAGGAAGCAAATAAAAAAAGGAGCTGGTGAGTGATTGAACTTGATGGCACTGGCCTATAACCTAGCTGTGACATTAGATTTTTTTTTTTTTAACTTGCATTCATCCATCCTGACAGCCATAGTAAAACAACATTCAGTTGCTCAAAAAGTGAGTTGGCACAGTGCTGTATTTTTCGTGTCATCTTTTACTTCAAAATAACTGTAAACTTTTGTGACTATTTTTTTTTTTTTTTATATATTCACTTTGTCTAACAGCATGCTCAGATGGATTAGGATAAATCTGGATTATGTCCATGAAATCTGGTGCAATTCATCTCTCTATTGGAGGATTAAATAGTTCTTTATGGAGCTCAAACTGGGGTTGACACAGAGCTTGCTAGTATACTGACATGTCTGTCCATTATCAGGGTGAGGGGTTAAACGGGTCAGTAATACTTAGTCAGAATTTTTATTCTAGTTTATCATGAACTCAAAGGTGTCTTAATGTGTGTTAGTGCCAAGCAGGTGTTTATTTTATCAAATTGCCTTGTGAGAAAAGCTATTTTCTCTCTTACTGAATGATGCTGGTTTTAATCTGTTTTGATCTTAATTAATTGTATTTTCATAGTTATAATGACAGTTGCTCATTCAATAAACATTTACATTGTGATCCTCGTTAAATCAGTGAACCTTACCTTGTCATTTCTTTGTTCATTGCAACAACTGTTATTTTTCACCTCGGTTGTAATTCCAGCATTTCACCATGTGGTCGCAGTATGGACCGAAAGTACAGGAGGGATTAGCACTACAAAGAGCCCTGACTAGCATCTTCTACTGTCTAATGCAGAAAATACTGAATATTGGGGGAAATTAATGCTTTAGTTATGAGTGAATATTGTCACTTTGTAACATTTATCAGTAAATGAAAGGGAGTGTGGGGGTGCAAAATTGCAGACAGACTGCAGTTGCAGTGCCCACACATGTCCACATGAGGGCTCTAGATTTTAAAGGCTGAAATTAACAAGAGGCTCTGGCACACCTGATACAGTGGCGGGCGCTTGTTCTCTGCCTCCTCTCCTCGTGCCTGACTCATCTCTTTCTATCTTAAGCTGCATTTCCACCAATCCTGTACGCACAGTCCATGAAAAGTCTACTGGCACATGCGGAGGAGCTTTTTTAGATCACTGTGATTCATTGCCTGCGCTGGCAAGACTGCACCAGAGGAGGCAAAATGTGCAGCCGCGCAGATGCAGAATATAAGGATTACATACATCACCTTCCTGCACCACTGACTCACATGTATAAACCACTTGTGTCTTGCAGCTTATCCATATTAATTTGTGTGTGCGGTGCAGCGGTGTCCTGATTGAGCCGAGCCTGGTGCAGACCAGACTGTGGTATACTGCAGATGAAGGTGAGGCTCGACTAGCAGCCCACCATGACTCTGCAGTCTGTACCCTGCCTGTATTCTGATCACACAGGTACATGGGGATTTCTAAGAAGCAATGAATGTGTAAGGACTTTATTGCTGACAATGTATTTTGAAGTTGTAAGGCCATTCAAGACTTAACACAAAGGTCAGCTAACTCTTCAGAAGCACTGAAAACTCTCACTGCTCTAACCTGTGGTACCTCTGACTTTCATGCTGTGTTTTAAGTACAGTTAAAGATGGCTTCTGCGAACATGATTCCCCTTTAATGTGTTCTTTCTATTTTTAGTTGAGCTGTAATAGCCCTTGCTGACTTTGCAATGTACATTAAGGTGTCTACTATATAAACATCTGGATCAATACATATGATCTGGGAATTGAGCTGGAGTTGTAACTCTCTCAAATGGCTCTGTGTGTATTGATTGAAGGAGTGTTACATTGGTATGGTGGGAATGCACAGTCTGTCTGGTGCACTCACTGTAGAGAAAGGAGACATCAAGATTCAATACGTTAATCCAAAGTATTTTTTGAATGTTCAAATAGAGTTGAATATAACACAAAGGCACAAATTCTTGAAGGGAGACTGTCCTCATGGTTTGCTGTGTTACTTTTCTGTAAACTAGCAGTGATCTGTGCAGTTGAAGCATTATGGGATTAACAGACTTTGTGAATCGGCAGCCAGGTAATGAGTGAGGGAGAAGGCAGAGAATAAACCTCTCATGCCTTCAATGCTGCTAAGCTGGTTAAAAATAGAGGCAGAAGAGAGGGATTGAGAGAATCGGGCTGGACAGAAAAGATGGCGGATGGAGGAAACGAGTGATTTGACTCCTAGCAAAGTAGGCGAGGAGGGATTTACCAGGTGTCCTTGACTGCCAGTAGAACAAATGTGTAGCAATATGCTAAAGGTGCACAAAGAAACACTCATCATGCATCCACAGTGATTCTGCATGTTTTCTGAACAGCCTGACCTGATGGACAATCTCTGCCAAGGCTCATCATGTGCATGACAATGATGAGCATGTTTGGCTGTATGCTGTTGGCCTGGTTGGTGAGTAGATGCACACACAAATTTATAATTGCAGGCCTGTGTAAGCCTGACAAGGCTGAGGAAACCTTGAATGACCTTGAATATCTATTTTAAGAGCTGGGGATAAATACAGATTAAAGCAAACTGTTCAATTTAAGATGCAGTTTGACAAAGTTGGATCATATTCTCTCAAAAGAGACCAAAGACATTTATTTCAGTACTGCACCAGTCTTCAGTTTACATGTAGACCTGACACTTCAACAGCCTATAAGAGGATGAAGTGAACACATGACTGGATGGAGACAGCATTTGTGTGTCTCTAGGTTTTCAGGTACTGATAGTAAAAAATAAAGACTGCATATACAAATTGTTTAAGTAGATAATTTAGGAATACACCATTGTCTTTCCGCTGGTTATCCAGAAAGTAACTTGAGGTCTACAACTTCCAAAAGCTCCTCACTTGTTCTCAGCTCTACAGCTTTTTCTCCCTATTCCTCTCATTTATTTTATTTTTTTCATCCCCTCTGTCATCTCTCAACTGGGCTAATTCTGTAAAACCCAGGCCAGAAGGACACACTGTTTGAGAGGAGAGCAAGAGGACGAGGGAGGCACTAACACTGGCACCGTGGTGAGTGACACTGTCGAGACGCCCTCGCAACAGGGAAAGCATGCGAGTCTGGAGAGGAATGGAAAGAGGGAGAAAGTGATAGAGCGGGTGGAGTAGATAAGGGGAACAGCCTGTGAAAGAGGAAGAGCGAGAGAGAGAGAGAGAAGCTTTTGGGATTAAAGAGGAGCTGAAGGTGGAGGGCAGACAAGGCCAGTGGACAGCTGGGAGAGGCCTGGTTCACTGCAGATTGGTTCATATTTGAACTGTTTGTTTCTCAATGTTCTTATTTTGAAAACTTACACATGGGGTCATTGGAAGTGGTTAGTAACATACATGTGTGTTATGAGACCAGAAATAAATTAAACTTGAGGAAAAAATGAAGAATATCTGACAAGTTTATATCTTTAAGAAATGTATTAATCCAAGCATAAACATTGCATAGTGACACATTTAAATGTAGAGTCAAGTCAGGCTAAAAATATCTATCAAAGGACTGTTGCAATGTTGAGAGACCAAACTATCTGATTGGCCAGTGTTGCTGTTCCACACACGCTTTGTATCTGCAAAAACAACAGCATTTAATGTGACACCTTAAAGCTGTTATTTCACATTAAATCTTGACACAGTTGTAATAATTTTACAGTACATGTTAATTATTGTCTTTGCAACTGTATGCATCAGCAAAAAACAAACAACCAGAATTAACAATGTCATCCAGCAGACACACTGATGTGATAATGGTCCTACAGAGGTGTTCAATATTACAGCACTTTGCTCTCTGTATGCCTTAGGCAGGACCACACTGACAAATAGTGAATGCAGCTACACTTTGGTTTGCATTGCTTAACGTGGTGATGTAACTCACAGTTTTATATGTAAAACAACCAAATGTGTAAATGAAGCAAAGGCTTTTGACTTTAGTTCTGAAGAGAATTCATTGAACATATCATTTAGTGTCTAGGAAAAGGGGATGGCTGTCACAAAAGCATAATGCTCATAGTTGCATTGATGAACTACAGTAACAATGTCAACACTCGTGATAGAGTTTATAAGATATAATCATTTTACTATCTTAAAATGAACAGTTTCTGATTTAAAATAATGTGAGAGCAGGCCATTGTAACATACGCTGAACAGCACTACTGTGGCCTCAAGTGGTAATTACAGGATAATGGTGAGTGCCAAAATGTAACGCAGCAGTAGCACAAGTAGAGAAAAGTCATAATGTCATGAACTGACATACTAACAGAAGAAAGTGGTCATATCAGACCAAGTCAGCTACAGTGGAACAGTAGAACAACTCTTGAGTGTTTTTTTTTTTTTTTTTTTTTTTTTTATTGAGGAAGGGTGTGTTTCATTTTTCATTGAGTTTATTTGACATAGAAAATGCTCACTGATCAACAGAAAAAAACCTGTAAATGACCCATACTTTATTTTAAAGCTTTCCAGTTTTAGAGGTGCTGGTGGGCTTCAGACAGAGGCACGCTAAGCTAAGCTAACCGGCTTCTTGCTGTAGTCGCATATTTATTGGACAAATCTCATCACTAACTCTACACTTTAAATAAGTGTATTTCCCAAAATGTTGAATTAATAGCCACTGCCAAGCCGTTGGACGGAGGGAAATAGCAGAAATATGGAGAGAAGCGGTGTGAATTACGTATCTGTACAGTCTGCAGTGGACTTCACATGACAATCAATGAATGGAAAGACAACTGGACTACCGCTTTCAAGTATGGAGTCATCTCCACTTAGCCATCTTGCTGGTTTACAATGCTGGTGAAGCTGAATTAATTATACTTTTGTGCTCATAGTTACTGAAAAGG